CGAGAGGAGGCAGCGGTGGCCATGGGGTGGGGACAGGAGGGGGTGACACCGTCACCGAGGCAGTGCCAGGACCACGGATGGGGGGGACAGAGGGACAAGGGTAGGACAGGGAGGTGTGGGGGGGAAACGGTGCCGCGAAGCCTCCTTACGTTTGGGTGGGAGCCCTCGGCGATGGTGGAGAGGGAGAAGTTGTCGTTGTGCAGCTCGGACGGGGTGCGGTATCTGCCGGGGGGGAGAGGAGAGCGCGGCGGTGAGACCGGGGACGCTGCCGAGCACCCCCTGCACCTCCGTCTGCGTTTCGGAGTGAACCCGGTGTTGGAGGGGTAAAAGACCCCAGCGCTGGAGATCTGGGGGCTAAATGTCCCCAGGGATAGAGGTTTGGAGCTAAATACCCCCAGATCTGAGGGGGCTGGGGGCTAAATGTTCCCAGATCTGGGGATTTGGGGGCTAAATGTCCCCAGGGATGGAGATTTGGGGCTAAATACCCCCAGATCTGAGGGGGCTGGGGGCTAAATGCTCCCAGATCTGGGGATTTGGGGGCTAAATGTCCCCAGGGATGGAGGTTTGGGGCTAAATACCCCCAGATCTGGGGTCTTGGCAGCTAAATGCTCCCAGATCTGGAGGGCTAAATGCCCCCAGCTCTGGTGTTTTGGGGTGCTAAATACCCCCAGCTGTGGTGGTTTGGGGCTAAATGTCCCCAGGGATGGAGGTCTGGGGCTAAATGCTCCAGATCTGGGGGTTCTGGGGGGAAAAATGCTCCCAGCTCTGGGGTTTTGGGGGGGCTAAATGCCCCCAGATCTGGGAATTTAAGGGGTTAAATATGCCTGGCTCTGGGGGCTTGGGGCTGAATGTGCCCAGGGATGGAGGTTTGAGGGCTAAATGCCCCCACATCTGCTGATTTGGGGGCTAAATACCCCCAGCTCTGAGGATTTGGGGGGGCTAAATGTCTCCAGATCTCCACCTTTTGTGGTTTGGGGGATAAATGTCTCCAGGGATGGAGGTTTGGGGCTAAATAACCCCAGATCTGGGGGGACTTGGCGGCTAAATGCTCCCAGATCTGGGGATTTGGGGGCTAAATGTCCCTAGGGATGGAGATTTGGGGGCTAAATGTCCCCAGGGACAGAGGTTTGGGGCTAAATGCTCCCAGATCTGGGGATCTGGGGGCTAAATGTCCCCAGGGATGGAGATTTGGGGCTAAATATCTCCAGATCTGGAGTTTCGGGGTAAATTCCCCCAGCTTTAGTGGTTTGGGGGCTAAATGTCTGCAGCTCTGGGGTCTGGGGGGCTAAATGTCCCCAGGGATGGAGGTTTGGGGCTAAATGCTCCAGATCTGGGGGTTCTGGGGGGCAAAATGCTCCCAGATCTGGAGATTTGGGGGGGCTAAATGCCCCCAGGGATGGAGATTTGGGGGGGCTAAATCCCCCCAGCTCTGGGACGGTGAGGGCAGCCGAGGTCAGCCAGGAAATGCTCCAGATCTGGGGGTTCTGGGGGGCAAAATGCTCCCAGATCTGGAGATTTGGGGGGGCTAAATGCCCCCAGGGATGGAGATTTGGGGGGGCTAAATCCCCCCAGCTCTGGGACGGTGAGGGCAGCCGAGGTCAGGCAGGAGCCGCAGGCTCCCAGGGCTGGAGAAGGAGACCCATGGGCTGGCACAGATCTTCGCTGCTAATTACACTTGGCACTTCCAAACACTAATTAACAGCTCGTTAGGGACCCAGGCTGGGAGGGCTTTCTCCTGCTGGGTTCCAGGGAGGTGGGCAGCTATTGCTGGGGTGAGGGGGAGGGCTGACCCCAACCCTCGCCCATGACAGCCTGGGGACACAGTGGGGACCATCTCCGGTGGCCCCTGGGCAGCGCGGGGAGCCCAGCCGGTGGCCCCAGCTCCCAGTACAGCAGATTAACTGGTGCCAGTCAGGCTTTAAAGGATTAACAGGGCAGAGCAGGAGCCACAAGCCGCGTCACTGCGGGTCACCCACCTCCGGGACCTTCCCCACCCACCATCACCTTGTCCCCATCGGCGCTGGGGGGTCCCGATGACACCCTGTTGGGACCACATCCAGCCCTGGTGCTGCCGGTGGGAACTGAGACCACCCAACCCGCTGCGGCTGTCGGGGTTGGGGAGGGTTTTGGGGGTGCCAGCCCCGTCCCGATGCCACTCACTTGGTCTTGCGCAGCTTGCTGTTCTCCGTCTTGAGCAGGTAGAGCTTCTTGGCGAAGAAGACGGTGAGCATGAAGAGCAGGAGCACCACGAGGGCGGCCGAGCCCACGGCCACGCACATCACCTGGAAGTCGGTGACGATGGCCTCGCAGCGCGTGCCCTTGTGCCACGTGTAGTCCTGCGTGTTGCACCTGCGAGGGGACACGGTTAGGGAAACCCCCCCCCAAACC